TGAGTCTGTGTTGCCCTTTGAGACCATATGGTAGCCCAGGAATGGGAAATAACCCCATCATGGCATACCATTTTCAAATGTAGACAACCCAGGGTATTCAAAATGGGGTATTTCCAGCCACCCTCCTGTTTCTTACCTTTTCCTTGGCTGAGGCTGATGGGAGTCGGCGTGGCTCTCCCTCTTCAAGGCCTCCACACTGTCTCTCCTCCCACGCGGAGTGAGCTGGAAGGAAGTGACTGGCCGTCACTTCCTCCCAGCTGCACTTGCGCTGCGTCTGCAATTTTTTAAAATGGGCCTGGTCACTCTATTACACGGCCACAGCGATGACCAGGCCCCTGTAGATATGGAGCCCATTGGGTGGTCCTAAGTTCGTGGGCCTCATGACAAATATATACTTACAATTTTAAAGTAATCTAGATGGGGCAAATTATTTGCTTTATTTGTCTGGCGTCACTATATGTTTAAAAACATAAAATGGGAGGGGGCAGTCACCTGTTTTGTCATGAAGACGTACCATAGCAGACATCCAGTGTGCTCAATAAGGCAATACAACATTAATAGGACAATAAGACGGGGACAGCTGGGGAAAGGCTGAAGAGATAATCAATCAACAAGCTAATAGGTTTCACTTGCCATTAGCACATTAGCAGGTTTACTATATGTCTTGTGTGAGCAACTTGAAGATATTGAGTTTCACAGAAGAATGAGACACCAGACTGTTATTATGTGGTAGGACAAGAAGGTGTTTGCCTAGGTAGATCACTTTTCACCTGAACAATATTAAGATGTCTAAAATGATATAATGCTTAGCTTCAGGTATGGGACTGTGATCACTTTATGTCACAAATAAACTTGTATATTTCAATAAGAATATTGGTAGACCTTAATCCTTGAGGTTTCAACCTTCACTTATTTGCTTATTTTTTTTTTACAATTTGTTGCTGCCAAGGTATTAAACAAAAGTCATAAAAATGGACCTTTGCTTGTGTACAAATGTTTCCTCCACATGCGGACTATCTATAACAGGCAACCAACTTTCATATATTTCTTTGTTTTGATCAATCCTGTTAACTGTGAAACCACCCTTTTATTTTATTACTACTCATCTGTACTCTAATTTTGTTAATGTGTTTATTTATTTAAACGAACCAGGGGGTTGCAGTCTCTTCAAGCATAATGGGAAATCAATGATAAATAGAGGGGAATAAAGTAAAAAAAAGTAAGCAAATAATTAGCATAGAGGCGGATTATTTTGAAAAAAAAAGGCTAATCTATAAAAGATGGAATAAGTGCTTTATACGAAAGTGGAGCACAAAATAAGAGCATATGTGAAAACGAGTGCAACACTTTTTATACATAACCCGCAATAGTTTTAATCTGCATTAATTCCAGACATCATACAGTGGAATACAATCATAACTGACCACTTTCAACAGTTTACTCTGACTTTGACTTCCTTCTGATGGAACTCTTAGGCATCATGTCCACTGAAAATGGTTGAAGTGGTAATGGTAACATAACAAATAAATAAAAAGGACTTGGTGTAGAAACCGCACTGTAATTGGGGGAATTACATCAGGTCCTGACTAAAAAGAGGAAAACCGTGGTCTGTCTATTAAATATCGCTCTAAAAACTGGTCAAGGGAAAAGAAAAAATTGTTTGGGGGGAGCGTATGACGTGACGTAGGTGACACCGCACGTATGTTTGGGGCGTGTCTGGATGCTGAGGATCGGGTTGCCTGAATGCCATGACGAGCTGGAGACTGAGGGACTGGAATGAACACAGTGAGCAGGAGATTTAATAGTAACCGAGCTGAAGATAAGCTTGATTGCAGCTTGTCAGAGGTCCAGCTGACCGCCGCTCGCGAGGGAGCTTTCGGTGAGACCTGGGGGATTCGTACTTGCCTGGCTCTACACGTGGAGAGGGTATCTGTGGCTGGACAGCCAGAGGAGTGCTATTTCAGTGTTTCTACAGCCTGGAAGACAACAAGGTCTACAAATAAGCAGACTCACAAAAGACTGGTTACCCCAAGGTACAAAACTTATTAATCTTGTTTTGCCTAAAAAAAGCTGGCTGATATATAAAAACATATGGCACACAGTTATTTAAGGAAAAAAAAGTGATAAGTGATAAAAAAAAAGGCAAGTGACTAATTAATTGAAGAGGATAAGAGTGGAGAAAGCAGGAAGAGAAAAGTTAAAGAGCTAAAGAGGGATGAGAGAGTTATAACAAAAGGGAAAGGGGAAAAACATAAAAAATGGGGGAGAAAAAGAAAGAAAAAAATAAATTCAACAATAAGTTCTCTCCACTATCTGAATCTAAGATCCCTCATTGAAGATGGCCCCAAAAGGAGATAAGGCAGACAAAAATGAAAAAGGCAAGAAAACAAAGGCTACAACTAAACAAACTAAATAACAACCTCTCAGCAACTTTTACTCTCCTAAAGCCAAGTGAACATGTCCATACTATCAAAAAAATCTTCCTCTGAAAAATCCATGGTAACGAGCTTATCTAAACATATACCTGAACACAGGGAAATATTTGCCGTGAGGCAAAGAAAGCATTTGCCTTTGGCGGCAATTTCCAGGGGGCAGCAAAAAATACCGCCCAAAATGCCTAGGCAAATACCTTGTTTGCCTCGTTTAATGGGAGCACAAGAGCTGGCCGGCTGGCCACCCTTGGGCTCCCCCGGGGCAGGTGGGTGGTTGTTTCCCAGGCGGGCGGGCAGTCACACTATGCTGTCAGCGAGGGAGCACTTTCCCTTGAGCGCTCTGCTCAGCTCCCTCGCACGACCCACAGTAATGCCGGGAGCCGGAATATGACGTCATATTCTAGCTCCCAGCATCACTCTGCGGCGCGCGAAGGAGCTGAGCAGAACACTCAAGGGAAAGTGCTCCTTCGCTGACAACCTAGTGTGACTGCCCGCCCGGGAAACAACCGCCCACCTGCCTGCACGTCCGGCCGTCTCTCTGCCCAGCAGCCCCACTGGACCCCAGGTGAAAAATCCACCCAGCTATCCCAAAAGGAGGGAGGCTGGGTGGATTTCAATTTAAAAAAAAATAATAATAATAATAATAATTGTGGGGAAAATGTGTGTGTCAGTGAATGTGTGTGTGTCAGTCAGTGAGTGTGTGTCAGTAAATGTGAGTGTGTGTCAGTGAATTTGAGTGAGTGTGTGTGTCTGTCAGTGAGTGTGTGTCTGTCAGTGAATGTGTGTGTGTGTGTCGGTCAGTGAATGTGTGTGTGTGTGTGTGTGTGTGTCGGTCAGTTAGTGTGTATGTGTCCCTCAGTGAGTGAGTGCGTGCATCTGTCAGTGAGAGCGTGCGTCTGTCAGTGAGTCTGTTAGTGAGAGTGAGTCTGTCAGTGTGTGTCCGAGTAATAGTGTATGTCTGTCTATCAGTGTGTCAAATCAGTGAGTGTGTGTATGTCATTGTTTGTCAGTATATATGAGAGTATGTGTCTGTCAGTGAGTGTACGCATTTATCAGTGAGAGTGTGCGTCTGTAATTGAGTGAGCGTTTGTCAGTCAAAGTGCGGCCTTGACAGGAAGGGGTGGGGAAAATTTAAATTAGAGGGGGGTGCCCAAGCACTGTTCTGCCTAAGGCAGCACAAATCCTAAATACACCACTGCCTGAACATTTGGGATACATCACACAAGCAAGTCTTTTCACTGCCTTAGAACGTTTATATGATAAGATCAATATAGATCTTGAAAAAGACCCATCAGACTATAAAGAGGAAATGGCTCATTTAAGAAATTCCTTATCAAAACAATCTCAGGGAATTGCTCTACTATATCAAAAAATGAATGATTTGAAAACTCAAAATGATTCCTTGAAATTAGCCATGACTAAAATGGGTAATAACTTGACAGATCTTGAAGAAGATCTCGGAGACAAAACCTGAAAATCAGAGGAATACCGGAAGAAACTGCCAATCTTGAAGAATATCTGATAGAACTATTATCTGTCTAAGAGACCCAAAAGTATATGGTTCAATACCTATAGACAGAGCACACAGACTACCGAAGTCATCTAACCTAATTCAATCAAACAGCACTAGAGACTTTATAATCCTATTCTCTAATTCTCAAATTAAATAGATGCTGACCAGAGAGATGAGGAAGAACCCTTCAAAAAATCCAAAGTTTCAAACGCTGACTACATTCACGGATATCTTATTATCAACGAGACTAATCAGAACGACGTATCAGGAACTCACTACATGCTTACGAAAAAACTACATCGCTTACTCATGGGGTTTTCCTACAAAACTACGCATATCATATAAGGAGAGAATCTACACCTGCACAGACCCTCAGCAATCCAGAGATAAACTAATGGCATGGGGCCTAAAGATATAAAGTTATAGCTGATTATTTTTTAAACAATCTTTTTTTTTTTACTCTATATAAAAGAATATTTTTATTTTATTTCTTCACTTGTTTTTTGTATTTATTTATTTTTTCTTGGTGGGGAGGGGCTTCCTAAAATTTCACATTTTGTAATTTTTTTCTCACACAGAACAGAACATACGCACAAAGGGACTTTAAGTACCTGAAGCCAAGTAAAATGTAAAATCTTGTTATAAAAGTTCCACGTTTTTTCTTTCTTTTTAAATTTAGAAAATTGATAATTGACCATTTTTGGCACATAATGGAATTCATCACTAAGCAACATAAAAAGTGATTGGGGTATTTAATGGATATGCTTTTTTAGCATGGAACAGAATTTTGAATATTTAGATATAACTAATATGAAAGGCTTTTTCCCCTTTCTATTTTTTTTTCTCTTTTTAAATTTAGAAAATTGATAATTGACAATTTTTGGCACAGAATAGAATTCAACACGGGGGTGGGGCTTAGCCGTGGAACGAAGCAGGAGCCATTTTCCTCAGCTCCGACGGCACTCTGCACAATCCGCTGAAAATCTCAAAATTAACAGCCCATCCAGCCACACCAATGACGGTACAAGGGAGAGGAGGCCACCCGGCATCAATACATGCCGTTTGTTGCAAAAACCGGACAAAACCGGTGGCAGAAAAAGGTTGCAGCCTTCCATCTTCCTGCACGCCTGGAGAATCTTCTCGGGCGCATCCCACACCAGAGAGAGCTATACTGGGGCACAGAAAAACCATCAATGGCACAGCAGCCCACAAATATGGGGAGACACTCCCAGAAACCCACAACAGGTATGCAAACCAAATCCCAAGACATAGGGGCCCTTTTACAACGACAGGCCCAGCCCAAAATGGCAGCCCCAGAGAATCAGGAGCTCCTGGCCGACCCCCAGGCCCAAGCACTTAACAACCCACCAGCACACACCCCACCACAAGCGGCAAGGGCACCAATTACAGGCCTCCCTGACTTATCAGCCCTGGCCAGCAAGCAGGACATTAAAAACTACCTGACTGAATTCCGTCAGATGCTAGCCACAGACATAGCAGTCATTCAGGCTGACCTACAGATGGTCACTGACAGAGTGAGAGCAAGCGAAGAAGACATCATAGAAATAAGGCAAGAAGTACCCACAATGAAAGACTCTATTCAAGCCATCCAAAAGACGCAACAAACCTTTTCTGCACACCTTGCTACGCTAGAGAACCGCTCCAGGCGTAACAACCTGAAGATAAGAGGGGTTCCGTAGTCTGTCACCATGGCAGAGATACCCCACTACCTGAGGCACCTAACGGCCTCACAACTATCGCCTCCACAAGCCAAAAAGCTCACCTTTGATGGCATATTCCGCCTGCCAAAATCGCCAAAAGCCCCAACAAACTCAGTGAGTGCTGCACTACGAAACCGAACTCCCTACACATTCGAGGGAGCTAATCTATCTTTCTACCAGGACATGTCAAGGCCCACCTTACAATGGCGCAAATCTCTACTCCAGGCCACAAGCCAGTTGTGGACGAGCTCTCACAGTGAGCCACAACGGTACTATCTACAGGATCACCTCGGCCGAAGAGGTACCCACATTACTGCGAGCACTGGGACTGACAGCCCCCTACGAGGAGCCAAGAGACCAGAGGACAACACCGACCTGGGACCCAGCCACAGTAGTCGCCTTTACCCCACAGACCCACTCGGCCACAGGCATTGTGACACGACTGGGTCCTAACTCCAAAGAGCAGCAGACAGATACAAACTGCACTCATCCTGCAAACCATTATTCTTGTTTTGATAATTTGTTATGTTCTATGTTGTTCCCAAGGCTGGACAGGATTACCAACCCCTGTGCACACCTCCCCCCCCCCAGGTGACAGGAGGGTAGGAATAGGGCCATGTGCCCACCACAACCCCCTCCCCCCGCAGGCCCCTTGGTTAGGGGCACTACAAACCAAACTGACCCTCCCATTTGCCACCGCAACACCGCTACTATCTAAGCCCCAAAACCACCAAAGCCACCCACGACAAGAGGCACCCACAGACTGCCACACCCACAGACCTTTGCATACTCATAACCACACAACGACCGACTGACTGCAGCAACTCTAGTGGGCCCAACACAGACCTGCCCAACGCAGTACTCGACCACACCTAGCTAGCCTTCAGTCAGGCACCACAGACCCATAAGCACAAGTCACAGGGTACCGACTGTAGCCATGACAGGGATGCCCTTACAGCACTCGCCAGAAAGACATGCGACTCCCAAAAGAGGGCCCAGTTCAAGCGACAACTAAACCCGGACACACATGCTAGAACATATGGTCACACCACACCGGGTACCCAGCACACAACTAAAAGTTTACTACTGTTACATAAGCGTGATATCTGGTTCATAATGCTTGTTTTAAAAAAAAAAATGGTGGAATTTTCTCAACATGTCCGATACCCCTACACCATCGCAATACCACTCAATGTCATGTCTGTATTTGCAAATGTTTCTCTTTATATGTACCGAAAAAAAAAAAAAAAGAATAGAATTCAACACTAAGCAACATAAAAATTGATTGGGGGATTTAATGGACATGTTTTTTTTAGCTCGGAATAGAATTTTGAATATTTACATATAACTCATTAAAAAAAAAAATTTAATTTAGATGTTGGACTATTTTTGACACAATAGAGTTTATACATGAAACAATATCGGAATAGAATCAAACACTAATTAAGCAACATAAAAAGTATTATAATGTTCTAGTAAAATTTGAATGTGTGATGGGTAGATTGGGTGATTTAATGGACATGCTTTTTTAGCATGGAATCCTGTCCTGAACGAGATAGTGGGCGTTATTAAATAAAAGACCCTGTGGTCTCCATGTAGCTCAACGCGCGTTTCGGCGCCAGACTGCGCCTTTTTCAAGAGCTTGAACGAGATAGTGGACATTATTAAATAAAAGACGCTGTGGTCTCCATGTAGCTCAACGCGCATTTCGGCACTCTTGAGAAAGGCGCAGTCTGGCGCCGAAACGCGTGTTGAGCTACATGGAGACCACAGGGTCTTTTATTTAATAACGCCCACTATTTTGTTCAGGACAGGATAGGACCGCAATATATAAGAATAAGAGGGGGGATTCTCTAGATATAGGTGTTAGGACTTAGCTTCTACCTAACTGGAATCCGAACCATTTCTTTTACACTTAGGATCTGATAGCTGTAGGAATAGTAGCAGACTTCAACTATCTATTCTATTTATCGGCAGAATCCTTTAGGTGGTGTGAGTATTGTGTATACCATGATCAGGAATAGGATTATATCTAGAAAGGTTTGATGTAGAGAATACACTGAATATATAGGTGTTCACACTTAGGTCCGGCCGGACTCTTTTAATACGTGGTTTATTTCTCTCTTTACACTATTTCTATCTAGCAGTTTCTATATAATATCAGGAAGTATTACTTTACTGAGAGGGTAGTGGATGCATGGAATAGCCTTCCAGCTGAAGTGGTAGAGGTTAACACAGTAAAGGAGTTTAAGCATGCGTGGGATAGGCATAAGGCTATCCTAACTATAAGATAAGACTAGGGAGTAATGAAAGTATTTAGAAAATTGGGCAGACTAGATGGGCCGAATGGTTCTTATCTGCCGTCACATTCTATGTTTCTATGTTTCTATTCTAATCAAGGGAGCCTCTTTTGGAGTATTATTAGGGGCTTTCTTATTCCTTCAACAAGTGACACTATAGTCCTTACATAGACAACCCCCACCTTTACAAGTTACTAAGAATACTATATCTTAGAAGGGTGTTTTCACCCAGAGTAGGCAGGACACAGCTGGTTTCTGCCTATTGAATGGCACCTGTTCCTTTAAAGCATGTTACCTCAGTATACTAACTGTGGGAGATTCACACATTAAAACCATATTAGCTGCTGAGACACTGTTGCACAATTATTACTATTAGCAACAGTTTATATCCTATCTCAGTTGCTACTAACAGGAGCCTGTTTGGCGTGATGTACATATTGCTTTACCAATAGAACAGTGGACGTTTTTTATACACACACTACATTTTTCTGTATATATACTTTTCATTATTTTCTTCATTCCCCAAGAGGGATTAATAAAGATTTATTATTTTCTTTTTGTACCAATTTTCCTTAGTTCCTACTAGCAATCTTTTGTCTTATACTAGCAGAACAGTCTCCTTTTAGGGTATAGGGACTGATATTTGGGAAGATCCTTTCGGAGATTCCTCTTTCAGTCTTTTCCTCTTTTTTTACATTTATCTTTTGGGTTATGCCCTGATACCTTACAACCTACTCAACTTCAGGGAAGGGGGTTTCTCTCTCCTTCGCTGTCGCTGTGCTTTCTATATCATACCGCTGGACCATGCCCAGATCCCCGTGGAAGGCAGACAGATGAAGGCAACCGACGTGGCGGAGGCCACCACCTTCCTACCGGCAGTAGGCATCAATGACACCCCACAGGAGCAGAGGGTCAGAGACACTAATGGGACATGGGATGTGGACAACATTACTCCATTCACCCCACGGAATGGACAGGGTGCCGTGACACAATATGCCATCTCCACTTAAGCTGCAATACTATATATTTTTTCGTATTTTGTATTATACTTTCAATGCTGTCTATACCTGGCAATTGAAATTTTCATATGGTGACCTGACTGAAGCCCTAGAGAAGTCTGTGCACCTAGACAGTCGTTCTCCTAGAGACGACCCCAATAGCGCTGATTCACTAGCGACTAGTGATGTACCGAACGGTTCGCCGGCGAACGGTTCCCGGCGAACATAGCATGTTCGCGTTCGCCACGGCGGGCGAACATATGCGCGGTTCGACCCGCCCCCTATTCGTCATCATTGAGTAAACTTTGACCCTGTACCTCACAGTCAGCAGACACATTCCAGCCAATTAGCAGCACACCTCCCTAGCAGACCCTCCCACCTCCTGGAAGGCATCCATTTTAGATTCATTCTCAAGCTGCATGCTTAGTAAGAGGAGAGAAAGTGTAGCTGCTGTTCATAAGATAGGGAAAAGCATAGCTAGGTTAGGGATAAGGGTATGCTTTTTTTTATTTATTTTTTTCTATGTAATGTAATTGCACTTAGTTGTCTGCCACTGCTGCCAGCTTCTGTGTCAGGCTCACAGTGCATACTGTGCCCATTTCCCCAGTCAGTGCCACCACTTACATCTGGTGTCACAATAGCTTGGATTTAAAAACAAAAAACTTTTTTCACTGTTATAGATTGAATA